ATTTCAAGCATAATTATCTTAAAAACTTTGTTCTCGAAAAGAAAAACAAAAAGTATATTTCCCAGAAGTTTTAAAGTTTATTATTTTTATATATTCCTCTTATAAAATTTGTACTCTTCTAAGATAGTAAAATTAATAAACTTCTTAAATCTTAATTGTTAGTAAACTTTGATTATTATTTGTAAAATTAATAAACTTACATTACTTAAATTGACATTATTTATACTATAAATCTAATGTAAATTTAATTCCATACAAATTATTAAAAAATATAAAATTTTTTGGGGTGTTCTGAGCATCCCATCTATCTACTTAAAAGTTCAACATATAAATATTATTAGGCACCAAGATCTTCTCGATTTGACGCTTTTTTATTTATTTAATTCGAACATTTATAGCATTGAGCTTTGACGTGTAACATGATATATGTCCCCATGGTACCGATTTCCTTCACATCCTATTTGGAGCAAGTGTATTTAATTTTAAAGTTAGATCGCGTGAATAAGAGATAATACTATTCTTTTCGTATAATATCACGAGTTATCGTGAGTAATAATTCGTATCTTTCCAAAAGAGTCTTTTCAAGAAGACCGCGCTACTTCCTAACAATGTAATTTGTACACGGACGCATTTCTCTATGCACGTACGAAGCACCTTCACTCCGACCAATTTCTATAGTGCATATAACATCACGGTGAAAGCCGCTGGCCTTTTGTTTTCGTCGATTAAGAACGCCCACTGCTATTTAGATCACCACAATGTACGCAGCTACATCATACACGTTTCGCCGTAGTCTGTTCGTTCAAGATATCTTGCAATATTTCATAAATTTATACTCATAGTGTCAGTCGGTCTCTAGTGAGACGGACTTCGCCGCTTCATAAAAGCAAATTAATTTCAATAAACACATTTTAAATGAGAAGTACCTTCAAACGTACTTTTAAATTAAATCATATACACCGCTTCAATTTCATTCTAAATACAACGCGAGAGATTATTATAAAACGGATATTATGTATGAGGTATGCTATAACATCTCGGAAAACAATCAGATTTGATTTCGCAAGTATTTTGTTTATGATAAACGAGTACAACGCAAAAATAATCACTTTTAGGAAATTAATTGAATTCCACGTCGGAAGTACGATTGGTAGGCTCTTTGAAGAGTACGCGTTCCGTGCTTTGATAGATCAATAAAAAGCCGCTTTGTGTAGTGAATCATTAAAGACATTTGCCCATTCCTCTCGTCGTCTTGAATAAAGAAGGCAACAGGTTTGACTCTCCGTATCTTTAGCATTAATGAAACCTTTGGACCTTTTCTTACGTGACATTTTTCGTGACGTCTATTGATGCCGGTTACATACATAAAATGGGTAGAAGTAAAGGTCCCTCTAAAAGCGGTTTTTTTTTTATATTTTCCGTACGCAAGAACGCAATTTAATTTTGCTATCAATGCTTGTCAGCAAAACAATTTGTAATTTCACAAAAAAAGATCAATTACTTTTTAACGACATCAATTTAATTTAACATTAATTTAACATGAATACTGATAGAATAAAACCATATAGTTACAAATATTAAACAAAAAATGTATTTTTAAATTTCTAACCATAAAAATTAATTATATCCATAAATAAATAAATGTGATTTATTTCGATAGCATCTAAACAGCAAATATATTTGCTGTGTTTATTTTATTTTTATACCATCTGTGTGAATAAGATATAGATAGATATATCACTTAGCACAAACTTTGATGTTAGATGACGATAAAACGCAGATTTCTAAAGGGATCCATGATATATAAGAACATATTTACAAAGAGGATAAACAGAGGCAAGATTCTACTTTTAGAAATGAAAATGAAAAGAAAGAGTTTGCTGAACGGCTTACGAAGTTGAGGATTTTCAGTAAACAGAAACTTCGCTCCTTATACAAATTTACAGTGTGATATTAAGAAAGTTCAGCCATATAGGACTTGGTTTAACAGCCAAATCTCGTCTTGCGGTTCATCGTTCTGTTTGACAATACACACACACACACACACACACATACGAACAATCTGACGATAATAACAAAATAATATTCCTACTCTGTGCATTCGGAAGTTATTAAAATTTACAGAATTATCTGCAGCGCATATAAGTAAATAAAAACCAATAAATTCAATTTTAAGAATCAAAATCACAATAGCCAATTATAAAAATATTTAATATAAAATGCTATTAAAATCAATTTTTCAATTTCTCGAGGGATCAAACTGTAATTTCTTCGTTAAATTGGAACTACATTCTGATATCAAGATTTATACATTTATTGAAACCGGCAGTAAATATTTCCTTTAATCATTGACCCACTTCTGGTAGGGAGGACATTTTTCATTCAAGGAGCTCTCGGCTTTCCCTAGTTACGCATCGTGCGTGATCGAAGAAGAATAAATACTTTCTTTCTTTTCTTCTTTCTATCTCTCTCTCCTTCTCTCTCTGTACACAAAAAACTGATAGTCTTTGATCGCACGTAATCTGGCGTAATTAAAATATAAGTAGATATAGAGCCAAGTATACAAAGGATCGAGGCATTAATCTAGAAAGATTTTTCTGATAAGATAAAATCGAACAATCCGCAAAGTTGTTCGTCATATTAAATTGTCATTGTCATAAAAGCAAAATCTAAAATAAAGACCCAAAGAGTACTTTATAACTTAAGGTATTCCATAAATATTCCATGTCACAAAAAATAATTATTTTATGTAATTTCTCGTTATTTAAAAAATGTAATTTATTTTCAAGTACTCGTAAAAATGCTATACACACTTTTAAAATCGTTTGGCAAGCGAATACAATACATTGAGTATCTATAAAAAAAGCTCTCTCTAAAAAAGAATTTTTGTTTTCGAAGTGGCTCTAACGCTTTAAAATCAATTACGAAGGATGGAACCAGTAAATGAAGTCCGTTTCGAAACCGCAATCGATAGATCGATCATTTTTAGGTGGATTTTAAATATATGCGGCATATATGGCGTATATTTCAAATTGTAATCCGTTCGATCAACTGATTCTCTTTGCCGGATCTACAAAGCTCTTTAAAAGCATCAACAGCAGGACAGCTGTGCTGAATGTTAGCTTCTCTCAATGGTGCATCTTTGAATTTTCTATGTTCAAACGAGAACATTCCCAATAAATCATATCTCACGGATTGTCTAAAAGAGCAAGCACTATTCCGAAGAATCGGAATTCGGTATTATTCGAGATTCTATCGGATATTTTGGATGCACAAAGAGAAATGGGCGTGTTCGTTCTTTCTTGTTCTTCCGACTACCGTTCGTTGTAAACGGTATATATATACGCGCTTGTCTCGCCATCCGGTTCGTAAACTTTGTACACGGAAAATGACGGGTATAACAATACAGTTGGCTGCGTGTAAAAATTTGATAAAATATCAGATAACATTGGAAACGTGAGTGACAAAAGAGGTGGAAAATGTTTTATAAAATGCTCAATACATAAAAGGACGACCGTTATTCGCCTTTTTTTTTATTCTAACAGGCTCTACAGCTCCTCGCCCTAAGAAGCTGAGAGATAAGAAATTTTATTTGCATTCTAGAATTATGTAAATAATGTGGGGTAATAACACAATGTTTTTACGGGCACCGTCCTTAAATTACGCGACGTTTTATCTGCGTTCCAGTCAAACAAGCACAAATCGTTCAACAAGCACAACGCGCTCAATATTCTTTTTCGTAATATATTTTTAAATTCTTTTCATACTTTTTTTTCTAAAAAAAAAACGCATCTCGACATATCTTAAATATTTGACTGTCCTCGCTCACGTGAACTTTGGTAGCAAGGATTTAATTGTTGTGGAATTAATCGTTAAGGAATTTCTCAAAACTTGGATATACTCATACACCGCGAAGGTGACGCGAGATTGCAATTTTGCAAGTGCATACCCCAAGTGCCTGCCAAACATTCCTTTATCCAAGTACGTTGTAAACACGTTATACGCTCAAAGTAATCACTGGCTTATTTCATCAAACTCGGCCGAAAGGTCAGTTCAACAAAAGAAAATGCACATTGATTAAATTGAATGTTCCGCGCCTAACTAAGCTGCATTAATAAGCATATTATTGTTTGAACTGAAAATTATAAAATTCACGCAAAAAATATTATTAAATATTAAGAGTCACCACGACTGTCGAATATGGCTTTCTTTGCTTAATGATATAGAACATTTCTCGGTCCATTTTCACTTAATATTTTATTGTTTCAATTTTCCGATTTGATTGAAACAAACAATCGCATCACATTGCTCCAAAAATTTTAATGCAAAATAAAATATGTGTAATATATGGACTCGTAATATCTCTCATTAAATATGAATTTTACTGTATTCCGAAATCAATAATATAAGCAATATAAGATAATAATTCAATTTTTTATACAGGCTCCATAAATCGTGTTCCACAAAATAACTTTATTGTAAAAGTCAAAATGATAAAATAATGTTCATAATAAATTTTATCGAGAAAACAAGATTCGAACGTAAATTTTAAGGAACGAAATTATTATTAAGAAAAGCAAAATTAAGAAAATAAATCATTATCAAAATATTTATTAATTATCTTTACGTAAATTTCGTTTTACCTATGCCGGGATTAAAGAGATATTATGAACACTTATCTTTATGATATTCTTTGTAGCAAATATTAAAAACTACCTTAGTTATTAATTCAAATAATTTTTTGAAGAAAAATCATTCAATATCAAAAATGTATGCAGCTAAAAAAGAACAAATCTAAGTATATATATCTCTGTATTGCAATTTCAAATATCCTCAATCAATATATAAACTCTGCAATGTATATGAACTGTTTTATATTATCTATTCAAACGTTTATTTAAATAAAATAGAGAACAGTTTTATATTTTCAAGTCCGGCGCTACAGAGACGAACTATTCGCGTCGCGGGAAGAAGAAAAGACAAATTAACGAGGGACTCACCGCAGGCTGGCGAATCTCATTGACAATGGAGATGTACAGGAACAAGCTCACGAGATAACTTCTGGTGAACCCCATCATCTTCTCGGAGGTGATAATCAGCCTCTCCGTCGCGACGCAGACTTCCAAATGTGAATATCGCTCTTCAGAATGTGTTGCCTCTTATATAGGGGTGCACTCCAGCCGGCGCAGGCGTTCTCCACCCCCAAGCGTTCTCCTCGCCCCATAACGCACCCACATGCGACATATGTACGTACATACGCGATGGTTCGTTCGTCCTTTTTACTTTTTCTTTTTTTTTTGCTTCTCCTTGTTCGCGACACGGAGTATGGCTTAAAGGCGAAATAAGCCACGAATTCTTCGCAAGGGAGGAAAAAAGAAGAAACGTGGTAGCAAGAAGACATTTTTCGAGAATGTAACGAGACTAATATTCGCATTTATTGTGCCTCGATGGGGGAGAGTTTGATCGTGGCGTTGCATAATATAGCGGAATATTGCTTTTTATTGGAAAGTTACTACTCAATTATTATCTTCTTACAGATGTATTGCAAAAAAGAATAAAATAAAAAGGTACTATGGTAAAAAGATAAATTGTTACAATATCCATAATTGCGTAAGTTACATTACTCGAAATTGATCATTGAAAGCGATATGATTTCTAGTACAACCCTCAACAGCCGCGACAAAATAATCTCAAATAGGATTATACGTAATTATTGAACCATACACTTACAGCGTCGGAATTATACTGAGAATTATATTAGGAATAATACATTTTACGCTATAATTATCATTGGATTCTTAGGATTTATTGTATGAGCTCATCATATATTTACTATCGGACTTGATGTAGATACACGTGTTTATTTCACCTCAGTTACTATAATCATTGCCATCCTTACAGGTATTAAAATCTTTAGATGAATCTCCACCTTTCATGGCATAAAAATTAATTATAATCCTATCTTATGATGATCTATAGGATTTATTTTTCTATTTTCTATAAGAGTATTCACAGGAATTATATTATCGGTCTTGCGGCTTTCAAACGTTAATTGTAATTTGATGTAAATTAATTATATATTTTCTAATATATAATCAAACTTTACTTAATAATCATCTCATTGATTAGATTATAAATATAGTTAATTATTATAAATAATAATAAATGAAAAATAAATAAATTAAATAACAGACAAAATCCTATTTTCGATCCCAGTTCGATCCTGATGTTTAACAATATTTATTCAGATGTAAATTTTTCAATTTAATTTGTCGGATTTAAAACAAAATTATAAACTAAAGTTGGAAATATCACAAATCACATTGATTGTCAATTTAATAATGATACTAATAAGCATCCTAAAACATTGCAAAGAATTTATTGCAAAAAATATCTTTAAAGAATTTATTGCAAAATATATCACTTCATCCATGAGGTGATATATTTTTCGCAATAAATTCTTTGTAATGTTTCAAGATGCTTATTAATATCATTATTAAATTGAATTATTGAATTGAAAAATTTATAATAAATATTATCAAGCTCCGTTTCGAAAATAGATTTTTTTTCTCTTATTTAATTAATTATTATAATCGAAAATAAAAGAAAATATTAAGAATTTCCTATATATGTATATAGCAAATTGTATGTACATACATATATGATATATGATTTCAGATACCGTGAATTGTGTGAGAATCGAGGCGACTGACCTTTTCTGAAATAGCATTGCCCTTTATTGGGGTGCTTTCGGTTTTTCTCAGATTTAATTTTGTCTCCACATATCGTTCATCATTGCTTGAGTCACGGTAAGAATATCCTTTCCCGTTATACAATTAGCGATCTTCTTAAAAATTCCAGTTAATTGTCCATTTTTACTCGATCTTTTCCTAAAAATTTATATTGCAACTCATATTAAAAATAGTATCTATCTATTCAATAATAACATCAATTAACGTCTCATTAATATAATTACAAGAGGAATGATCGCAAAAGAGAAAAAAAATATTGGGTTTCTTTAGAAAAAAAATGATGTCAGAACTATTATAGTTACAAAAAAGCCAATTAATTTTTAATGAACTCTTTTTACATAGATACTTATATTCTTTTTTTTTCTCTCTTCAAATAACTCGCGCTTTATAAATAATACGAATAACGATAACATTTTTTCCCGATATTATCCCGCAATATCGGACAAAAACTAATTAGCCAATCTACATATAAAAATTTGGACAAACTATTTTTGTACATGTATATAATTAGAATATTCTCCAATATATGACCTTTTAGCGAGAATATATTACTTTTGAGGATTCGCTCGAGGAAAGACAGAAATAAAAAATAGAATACGAATAGAAATTCTCATTACAGACTGTCGTTTGTAGAGGAACCAAGGGATTTGCAATAAGAACCGAGATATCACATAGTCTTATGACGTCCGTGGTATCGTATTTTGATACGAAGTCTTTCGGGAATCAGAATTTCCGCTGTAATTGACCGTATATTTGTCACGTGAATATTGCGAGATCGATACTCCGAATATGAAATAAACAAGAAGCAAATAGTAAACTTGATCGCTTTCAATATTTAAATGTAGGAAAATCGCACGATTTAAAATACTACAATAATTATTGTGGATATATGCATACAATTTTCTTACAGTGGAGTCATGTTCCACGTAAATTTATTCAAGTCATGTAGATAATTAGAAAAATCTATATATAGTACATAACTGTTTTATATATATATATATATATATATATAATTTATTGCGAAAAATATCACTTCATCGGATAAGATTTTTTTCGCAATAAGTTCTTTGTAAAGTTTTAATCATGCTCATTCGCATCATAATTAAACTGACATTATTGAATTGAAAAATAGATCATAGATTATGTATTATTTAATTATTTCGTAAAATATTTTCTCTGCGTACGTTTATTCAAAATATTAAGTGCAAAATAAACAATTAAGAAAAATTTTTTATAGTTTAAATTTGTATAAAATATTATTTTATTATTGTAGCTCATTTACATTCTTTTACATTCTATAAGTTTTCTGTGATCATAATAATGAAGAATCAAAGAAGTTAAAAATACATTAATTATTATTCATATTAACTTACAGATCATGTAACCATTAGAATTAATAATAGAACTGCATGTATTTTCAATCACAGATGTAGATAACAGATGTTATTATCCTCAAGGTAATTAATATATATATTTCACTTTCAATATATTTCACTTCATCAATGCTCCTGTATAGACAAACTTCTTCAATGTTTGCCAAGCTTTCCACATTTGGATCTATTATAATTTTTCAATCTAAATTGTAAGTAAATAATATTCATATAGATGTCAGGTATAGTAAGAATGATAACGCATACACATAAGAAGCGTATTAATCAGTGAATATATTGATCGTCCATCAATATAAATGATATACATACATGTATATTTACAATGATATACGAGAATACTTAAAAATTGATTAACTAGTCATGTATGGCTATTAAGGTCATTTTAGTCATTTAAAGTAAGCGTGCTAAATTCGATCTCATGAAAAGGCATTACTTTATGGAATTATTACGTTGTAACAAAATTTTTTTTTTTATAAATCTGTTTATCCCGTTAACAATTGTATGATAAGGCAAATCATATCAATCAAGTATAATTTAATATAACGTAAATTAATGTAACAATATAAAATATGTTAAATAAGACGTTTCTACGTTAAGATATAGAATATCCTTTTACTAATTATGAAATGTCAATCACAAATTTTACTCTTTTAACACTAGAAGGACGGGATAAAGGAGCCAAATTGGCTTCAACGATTTTTCTAGACAATTAAAAAAAAATTCAACCATTTTATATAATTGAAAATTTTTTTATTAAAATTAAGATCATGAAAAATACTGAAAAGTCACAAAAGGATATCACGTGGAAGCAAAATTGAAAAAAGTTATATTAGTTTGAATTTCGCGAAGAACCAAATTGGCTATCTCGGTCCTTCTAGTTAAAGCAAATAATTTTTTCCTACGACATATCATACAAAAATAATGGAAATATTTACCGTAGTAATAATAAAAAAAAGAATATCCTATATAAATTTTGTCATATATTTTATAACTCAGGCGAGAAAATATATTGTCTAAAAAATAAATAATTATACTGATAATTACGCATTTGGTTTTATAGAATACTTACTTGTAAGAATGGCAATAATTATATTGATTTAGGAACAATGCGGTACCATATATCGGTTAAGATAATGGTTATAATTTTAGCGAATTGACAAAAATGTTTTCAAAAATGAATCATAGTTACCTATTAATTTTCACAAATTAAAAAGATGTAATGTCACTATTATATTGATATAAGTGACTGTAGAATAAAAACTTAAAAAAATGGAAATATCTAAATGTTGATTTTTTTTATATTCATTTTCTTATACTTTAAGCAGATCTTCCTCTCCTTCTTTGTCTTAAATTAAAGTAACGAAAAATCTTTCTTTAAATGCAAATATGTATGTATATATATATATATGTATATGTACACAAGTTGTACTGCAGTTATAGTACAATCGATTAAAAAATAGTTGTTCTTAATTCTCGTATTACCAATGAGCAGATATCTTATGTTCTATATAACTATATATTCCTATAACACAATTTAAAATTCTGAGAAGATATATCTTTCATGAGAAATGATTTAACTGAATGTATCACAATCCTCGGAAATGGCCGCTTTTTTTTTAAAGGAGAATGCCAGTTGTGGCTAAGAGATGCAATCTGGAAGAATAAAAAAATAGAATCAATAAAATAACAGTTAATACAAAGATATATAATAGATATAAGATACTTACAAATAAAAAAAATCTATATCATATTATTAATGTATAAAATATTATATTAAATATTAATATTAATTATTTAATAATTACTAAATATTAAGTAAGCATTTTTTGCATTCAAAAAAAATAAATTTTCTCTGGATAATAAAATTAATTACTTACAAAATCAATTAAATTATCAGTGGTATCAAAATATGAAACAAAAATTGACACAAAGAAGCCATATTATATTTACACAAATGAAGATCAATTAGATTCAAATGATGATCTTAGAAATAAAATAAATAGATATATATAAAAACTAGTTTCTGAATAAGACGCATTAATACTTGTACAAACATTAGTCATATTATTTGATACTGACACTTAAACTGAAATATCTGTCGATTTCAATTTATTTTTTCTCGTCCTTAAGATCCTTTACATTCAGTTCGGTAAGCTTATTCGTCATAGCCTCATAGTACGCATCTAGTAATTCTTGCGTAGATAGTTTAGAGCATATGCTCTTAAAAATATTAAGTAGGCTTTCTTTGGATACGTCATCATCTTCGATATGCGCAATTGTGAATTGGGACGTCCACAGTTCGTCTAGAATGCGTTTAGTCATAACGGGGGACTGCTTTAACGCTTGAGCTATGTCTCCCGAGCTGTTGTTCTGCAAAGCAATGTCGAGAACTACTGGCGCAGGAATAAGTTCCTCATTTGCTACAGTATGACTAATAATTACGTCCATCGGCAATCTTTGTAACATAGCATTCAAACTTGACAATTCCGGCATGGATTGTTTGATACCTTCTTGTTCTTCCTGCTTTAGTTTCTCCGAC